CCAACACCAAGTTCTTGCACACTTCATTACTGAGGCCTCGCATACCAACTATAAGTATAGATGATTTACGCATGCTACCATAAACCTGTCAAAAGAATTCTTCTTCTGTATTGATTAATTGGTAAGCCACAGAGTTATTTCTTCTTTGCTCCATTAAAGCAATTAACAATTGATTACCATTATTACTGAGAATATCATTACTTTGTTCAGTTTTTAAATTAGCCTCTGCTTTTTTACAATTGTTTAATAACTGAGCAGCATCTTGAAGGAGTGTTTTATCAAAAATGCCATTTGGTTTTAAAAGGGGACTATCAAAAATAGCTTTTTCTTCTGGTTTAAGAGGACCACCATGATAACTTGAATATTCTTTAGCTTCGTCTATTGTAATTATATCATTTTTATTGAATGTCATGATTTTAATTCCTATATTATTATATTTTAATATTAAAAAATTAAATATAAAGAATTTAATAAAAACTAATAAAGTAATAAAATCTGCGGTTGACTGAAATATTTTTATTCATTGTCAGTATAGATTGGTTTGGGACAAGTAATGTCCTTGAATTCATCTCTAACAAATGGGCGAATATTATGATAAAGATATTCTTGTCTTTTGTAATCCAAAGGAGGTGGGGTTAGGACTAAAATAGAAAAAGATTTAATTTCTTTGGTAATTTCAGAAACATTTGTCTTTCTCGTTTTTAACAAATTAAATTCAGTAAAAGCACCATTAGCAACCAGCTGAGCTTTGACAATACCAGGTCGAGCCGCTTCGAATACAAAATGCTGATACCTTTGTAAACCATTTAATTTTTTAAAGAAAATACCTAACACGGAATTAAGATCTAAGTATTGAAAGCCTTTTCCATTTTCGTAGCACTGAGCTTTGTTTAATCCCGCTATGCTCGATCTTTTCACAACCTCAACAATATGATCTACGCAATCTACCGTTGTCTTTCTATAGAGTTTTTTGATTAATCCAAAACTACCATCACACTTAAATTTAGTATGTCCCGGCACCATAAAATTTAATTCGACACTTTCATAATAACCGCAAATAACTAAATACAGATAAAATCAAATGGTAGCATTATTTTTATTCTGCCCTCCCGCATTATCACAAGTAATTTTTAAATGTTTCTCACCTTTATTCAATCTCTTAATTCCATCGAATACCATGCTCAGTGTACCATTAGGGCCTTTGCCGATGATTTCGTCTTCATCGAGAACGTAATTAATTTGTTCGCGTACTGCTTCATCTTGGATACCAAATAAATGTACTTTACGCGGAGTGAGATAATAAATCTTACTTACCTGTTGATCGGAATGGGGTACGTGAACGTTTTGTGCCCAATCATAACTGTAATGAGCAGTCACGTCGACACTACAATAATCAGCTTTACCTCTCGTTATAAAATGCTCGTCTACTAGTTTTCTCTGTTGTTCCGCTAATTTCGTATTTTTGTGGTAATAGTTTCTCTCTAACTTAGCTTTAACTAGATGTTCTTTGAATTTTTTCAATAAATCTTCCACTCTTCTTCCTTGCGAGCATTACATTGTAAACCATTTCGAAAATGTTGGCACGTGTCGCATAAATTCGTTCATGAACTCATAATTTGGATATAAGGCGTTAACTGGTGCCATAATTTGCGAAATGCATCCTATTTTAACAATTTTAATTGTACTATCGTTTTCGAGACCTGCAATAAAATCGCGATAGACAGACTTGTAATTCGTTTCGGCTGGCAGCACGGCAATAGCAACAGTTATATTAATGGTTATCTTGGTTTTCCATCGCGGCACTCTTTTTACATTACCACGAACGCGCGGTATTATACCATTCGTTGCCAGATGATTTCTGATGTTTTCGAAGTGCGTGTGGTGTATTGCGATCTCAATAATAAAAAGTCCCTTTATTAGTGCACACACTCTTTTTATATATTTCGACATTTTTTCCGATAGCAGTAAAGTTGTTTCGAGAAATAGATTGTGTTGAGTGCTGAAGGCGAGACCTTAATCTGCTTTCCCGGGAAGGAAATGTGGCCTTTTTCTTACCATGATCTGCTCTGGTTATTTCAATACCAGGTTCGCCCTTCTTTTGTCTATAGCAGTAAAGGAAATAACATGATCCACACCATCGACTATACATACCGTCTCTTGTATGTTCTTTTTCGCAAATTTGGCAAATCGTAGACAGAGTTCTATCAAAAGTGTCAAATCCATTACTTAAATTTCGGTAACAAGGGAATTGATTTTCTACCGCTTTTATTGCATTATTTCGATCTTCACATGAAGCGGTCATTGTTTCTGTCCACATCTAAGACTGGAAAGGAAAATATTAGAGAAAGTAGCTATGAGAACGTGGCTCTGTGTACAGAGGAAGAAACATTACTGGGATGTTGGCTGGAATGGTTAGACCATTTAATTTAAGTGATACACACATAATAATATTCTAATGGAGAATTTGGCTATGAAATACAACCGGTCATAAACATCAGTGATTAGTCGCCATAAGAATAGCTCTCATTCCTACTGCGGTCAACTTCTCACACCTCCCAATCATTTTCATAGTGATTTACAATCACAATCATATTAGTAGTCACAGTCACCCGATTTTGAATCCCCTGCAGTTCCTAAAATTTTAAATGCACGCGTTATTAATCATATCATGCTTTATAATAATAAATACGTGGGTATAACATAATCAATTAATGTCGTTCGCATTATTAGTACAATAGAAAATTGTATTTATTGATTTAAATATAGCTGCAAGCATAATTTTAAAAAATATCGAAACATTTATCTAAAACACGATCTCGATTGAGTATGAATATGCTAGGCGACATCCGAACGTGAAGCATGGCAAATTATTTTAATGAGAAGTTTAATATTACGATTGACATATTGTTGATTTTTAATTTAATAGTAAAATAACACAGAATTATAAAATGACTAATGTAAGTCTTCCTTCCATCCCATACGGTCACAGATTTTATCTGGTCCCAACTGTGTGACAATAGGAGAGGTTGACTGTATTAGTCTTGAACTAGTCTCTTGTTAATTTCATACCAACTTTCCATCCCATTATAAATATGCTCATCCTCATAAGCTCTGTACATTGCATAAGGTACATTTCCAACGCTATCACTATGCCTATACTACTTCTTTGATGCTTATTTGTTCATCAAGTTGTTCTTTCCTTTATTTATTTTCCGCACTAACCTTCAAATACCCATTCATCGTAAATTTTGTATTGATCTTTGCGCTGGATTTTCTATACTATACGTCTTCTCTTATTATTTAATCAGTCATCGACAGTTATACATAGAAATATAAAGTCGGAACAGCGTTAGAACTATACGTTTATTGCATGCAATTACAAAAGCGTTCAGTCTAATATGTACTATATGTAATTATCACAATCTTGCGATGATGTTTGATTCTAATATGGAGTAAACATACGACTAGCTATACATGAGTAATGAGATCCTTATAATCAATGCGTTTAATAAATATCTTGTATGTTCACTGAGTTTTCTTTTCTTTTTTTAAGTCTAGTACAAGTCATTATAACAACAATAGGACGATTTCGCTGGTCATATGGGAATATACTGTGCGATGCTAGAAAGTTCCCAATAATACGTCATTGATTAAGCCACTGATCAAATGTTAGTAATATATTAGAGCACAATAATGCTTGTTTTCTCTTCTCAACTTTAAGCAATGTCAGTTCAACAGGGGACTTTGACAGAATTCTTGGACATAACAAAGCTAGCTAATTTCAGACAAAATTTCGTAGATGCTGGATGCCCAGAAAAAGGCTTTGTTCCTGCTCTGCTTGCCTATGATGATACTGCCCTCTCAACATTTATTAACGGGCTGGGGCTTCCTTTATTCCAACAAGGTATAGTTGGTACCTTTGTGCGAAATCACCGTAACGGTAAGTAATACAATACTGCATCTAAATATCTAACGACTTTGTGACTCAGGCGTTGGGAACATGGAGTAGTGTGTACATAGGACGGAGTAGATGTAGTAATTATTTTGTTATAGATAGTTTCAGCTATGGAGTGAGGTACAAGTATAGCTTTAAATAACGTCTCGTCTTTATATTAATGTCGCACTCTGCCTTTTGTTGCTGTCTGCCCAATGCCGCGCTTTTTTACTTGGTGTTGTTGTTCTGATGTAAATCAAACAAGCGTTGACCTACCATTGGTTCACTTTCTATGTCTTGAGCAGGAAGAGAACGGGGGCGGTCACGTTCACCTCTTGGTGATTTAAATAAACCAACTAAGCGGCACAAAGCCGAAGGTGAGTTTTGCCAAAAATAACATAGTGATAGAGCGAAATTATATACATCTAATGTAATGGTAGGTAATGTGATGCTTATTATTTTATTTTATCTCTTTATTAGCTCCACACTACCAGTTCTTTAAAGACACATTGAAGCTAATTAAATATCTGAAGAATTATTCCAATGTATCACCTGAAGCATCTACACAACATGCAGATCCAGAGGACACCATCCGAATTATAAGCACATCCAGTACACCAACATCTATGCAACATGCTGACTACCATCTAGGCTGTATTATCCAACATAAGAAAGGCCATAACATTGCAGTAATCAAAAGACAAGCCCTGTATGTGAGGCAATCTTATGTGGATCTTTATAAAGTGCTTATTAGAGCCACAGATGCGGGGGATAAAACAAGTTTAGATTACTATCCAAAGTATCTCCTTACAGGCACATCGGGGATTGGCAAATCTTGTTTTTTAGCTTACCTTTTAATCGAGCTTTTGCTTCATCGTGATGTCGTTGTGATTTTCCAGCCTCCAGATGGTGAACTCGTTTATTGTTTTGAAGGTTTAGAGCAGTTAGGAGTTGGTCGCTTAAGCGAATTTATGCATCACCTTAACTCTGTTGAAACATGGTATCTAGTAGACAGTGTTACAGGCGTTTGGGATCTCCGAGCGATAACAGTGATTGCAATGTCACCAAACAGTATTGCAAACGACAAATTCGAATTGGAGAAGACTATCGTAAACACATATCATATGCCACCATGGACCATGGAAGAGCTAATAATTTGCAGGAAATATGTGTTCCCAACTATTCCACAACAGTTGATGCTAACTCTATATGATAAAGCCGGAGGAGTTCCTCGATATGTTCTCCAACGTCCAACATTCCTAATTTCACAGTACAACCCAAATGATCCTGAGAACCTGGCTAAAATCATCGCAACGACTCTGCAGCGTATTTATGGTGCCATTCAGGAAGTTGGCGATTTCGAACGTCTTGTACGATGTCTTTCCGAAGATGCTAAATTTATTAAATTTAGCAATCGCCTTATCCATCGATGGCCTACTGATCTGTCATATGATGGTTACCATCGTGCATGGGCGTCAGATTATATCTATCAATCTGTGGAGAAGAAATTGAATGACGAGATATGGAACAAGCTTTATCGACAGATCCAAGATCAGAGTAATCCTTTTATTGCTAGAGGCATCATGTTCGAATCATACGTGCGTCATATCCTTCCGATGTGGTGGTCAAACATTCAAAATAAGAAAACTTACTAAAGTTAGCCAGGTAATATTTCACGCAAGGCTCATATTGGTACTTAAAAAAAATAGAGGGGGGAGAAACCTCCAGAATAATAATCTGATAGCAAATAAAAGGCTTATTATTTATTTATTTATTATTTATCTCTTTTTTTTGTGGTTCTTTTATATTGCTAGGATAATGAAGGAACTGATGAAACTATTCACTCATACCAGCACAACCACACTTAGTGCCCCATGTGACATTGAAGAATCCATGTTCACCTTACCAAAAAAACCACAATTGGGTATATTCAAATCTTTGTGATCATGAAAGAGACGGAACCCTTATAATACCAACTATTTCCAACCTTGGTGCAGCAGATTTTTTTTTTACACCAGATTGCATTTTTCAAAGTACTGTCTCACTAAAACATCCAATCAAACAGAAAGAGCTTGTAGATTTAGTTAAAAATATGGCTGCCTACAGGAGGAATCATGACACAACAATTCGATTATACTTTGTGGTGCCTGCAGACATATATGATGACTTTACATACCAAGCATATTTAACCCGGGAAAAAAAGCCTGGTGACGACGTCGAGACTTTGAGACCTGTCATCCGTGAATCCCGCACTCTCCAGAACGTGGAACAATGGGTCCTGAGAGTTGACACTACACGAAAGGTACCTGTTTTTTCTCGACTGGCAAAGGCTACTGTTGCTGTTGCTACCTCATGCGCGGGTTTGACAGAAAACTGAGGAAAGATCTAGCATAATGTAAGCGCTAATTAAGTTGAGTATCGGAATAGTCAGAATTGTTTTTCGTTACATTAGTATATAATTATATTTGATTGAATTTAGCAATTTGCAGCTGAAGATTAAAGTACTATATGATGAGATTTCTGATTGTTAAGTAGTTCTTGGGTATATCATCCAGTTGATGGTTGAAGACAAAGAGGAACGCTGTGGGCTAAAGTGATTTAATAGCAGTTGATTACTTTGCCAGTCCGAAACATTGGGCAAATAATAAAATTTCAATTATGCGCCTATACGCTGCTGCGGCAGAAATTAGAGAGCTTACTGTACTTTGTGAAATAGGCATTAGTTGGTTAAACCGCATCTTTAGGATCTGGTAATGTCCGAAGGCGTGCGGGCTTAAATAAACTCTGTCACACAATTTTTTGTCGCTTTGCCGATTGCGCTGAAAATGATAAAGAGGAACAGCGTTCTTTCTCATGTTCAGGCAAGACATCCAGTATATTTGTCACATATTCTGAAATTTATCTGGAAATATTATATATATACAGTCATACCTCGTTTATATCCCCACTTTGGGACGGAACTTTTTTGGGGATATATTCGAGGTGGGATACAACT